CTTCCTTCCTTCCTTCCTTCCTTCCTTCCTTCCTTCCTTCCTTCCTTCCTTCCTTCCTCTCTTCATTCCCTTTCTCACTCTCCCTCCTGGTGGCACAGTGGTTAGAATGCAGTATTGCAGTTTAAGTCTGCCTACTATCAGCAGTTCGATCCTGACTGGCTCAAGGTGGACTCAGCCTTCCCTCCTTCCGAGGTGGGTAAAATGGGGATCCAGATTGTTGAGGGGACAAGAGGCTGACTCCATAAACTGTTTAGAGGGGGCTGTGAAGCACTGTGAAGCACTCTAGAAGTCTCTTGCTATGATGCTAATAGTACAATCGGCTGTGTGTCGATCTGACATGGCTGCTATTTATCCAATATTTAACTTGTGGAACTCCTTATCTCGTGGCTCAGAATATTCAGACAATCCAACTGTTTCTCAATTCCCTCTAAAGTGAAAAACACACATCGGGATCAAACGATCAGGGATGGGGAAAAAACGTGCGATTAACAAGTCAGCATAACCCAACTCCGAGTAACAATAGGCAAGCTAGGAGGAAGACCAGCAACCACTAATGAGGGCTACCATACCAGCCAAAGTCTGCTTAATCAGTAGAGGGCAGCCAAGGTTAGATTTCTCACCCCCCCCCCCCCTGTATACTTTAGTTTGCCAGTGAGCTGTCATCTGGATTTTAGCATTCCGGATCGGGGAGTCTTAAAATAGATGTATCCATCCTTCATTTGAAATGACATAAGGGTTACGCTTGGGTAGCATGCTGTACATTGAGGGTTCCTTTCAAAACAGATGGGCGAAAGTAATCAATGCTCTTCGGTGAGAACTTTGCCAAGACAATTGTACACCCCGCACGCAAGTTAAACAAATGGAATCTGCTTGCGTAAGCTGTGTTACACAACGGAGTTTGACTTTTGTTTTAGAGTCTGTTAGTTGCATTTCACCCAAGGAAGCCTGAAGTCGGTTTCTTTCCTTCCCACTAGGGGGCTGCATGGATCACCTCCGCCGCGTTCTTCTCTTCTTCAAGGGATGGGAAAATAGAAAGTCAGAAAGTCCACGAAATAAACTTTTTATCGGCTACAGAATAGAAAACATGCCTCATCATCACTGTACCTCATTGGTTTGACTATCACTATTTATTCCTTCATGTTCAATGAGATATTGGGATCATTTATATGATAACAATTCATTACATCATCTTCAATCTATCCAATAATAATATATCTTTATGTTATATTCAATATCGTGACCCGTCAAATGCACGCTCGACAAAAGCGTGCCGACAAAACCGCGGCGAAAAAACAGCGAGCGAGGACAAAATTGCGCCCACAGCAGCGCGCCGATAAATGCACGCCAACGAAAGCACGATTAGGGTTAAGGTAAGGGTTAGGGTTAGGGTTAGGGTTAGGGTTAGGGGATTAGGGAGGGGGGTTTATGGGAGGGAGGGGGGGAGGGTCGAAATATAGTTTCAACTTTCAGAACAATAAGAATACACTTNATTCTTCAGGGCATCACGAATTCCGTTTGCATTCATCTAAATTTGCTCCTTTCAAGATTTTCCTGCCTTAGTAAAGAGGAAATCAGGTTTTCACTTGAAAGTGAAGCCTCTCGGCGACGTCATAAGTGCAGTCTGCTTTTTGAGGGCAAACAGCCTCCGTTCTTCCCACATGGCCACCCAAACCTCCGCTGTTCTGCTGTGAAACAAGAGAGCACCTCTAACGGCATGGTTTTTTAAATTTATTTATTGGTTCTGTGAAAAGAAGAAAAAGTCTGAAGGAAGGCATTCAGAGAATCACACCTTTGTCTACCCGTTCTTTGAAATCAGGTAAGATTATCTGGAGATGAAACAAAAGGTTACCACCTGCTAAACTTTAGTTCCATTTCTCATTCTGAATTCTGGGTCTCTTTCTGATAACATTTGACAAGGGAACATGTAATGATCAAGGACCATTTTTCATTTACTCCAAACCGTGGCTTATTCATGGTTTAGTGGTCTTCTTTCTTTTTCGTTTTGCACTGTTACGAGAATGCCACAAGGCTTAAAAATGTGTGTGGGGGCGGTATGCATATTCTTAAAATTGTCTCCTTTTGGGTGTTAATTTTTCACAGGTATCAAATGCCAGAGTTTATTTAACTATTTGTCAAGGGGTGAGGAAGAATTTGATTTCTAACAGTGAGTTTATTGACTATTTGGCGGCTGTCAGCAAAGTAGTTAACTTATGCCTTCATATAATTCTCAAACTTAACCCTGAACAGATAGACACCAAACTTAAATTTACTTCTGCTACAAATAATTGTTTTTAGTTGTGAAGTTGTGTCCGACCCATTGTGATCTCATGGACAACAACGTTCTTCTACCATCCTCTTCCTGTCTTCTACCATCCCCCGGAGTCCATTTAAACTCACGCCGACTGCTTCAGTGACTCCATCCAGCCACCTCATTCTCTATCATCCCCTTCTTTTCCCCTCAATCGTTCCCAGCATGAGGCTCTTCTCCGGTGAGTCCTTCCTTCTCATTAGGTGGCCAAAGTATTTGAGTTTCCTCTTCAGGATCTGGCCTTCTAAAGAGCAATCAGGGTTGATNCCGGAAGTTACTTACTTCCGGGTTCGGTGACCAACCGGTTCGCAGGGACCACCGCGAACCGGTTGAAACCCACCCCTGGACTACGTGCATTTGCGGATGACTTGGTTATAACATTAACCCAACCAGAGAAATCTATCAAGGTTTTAATGAATATGGTTGGTCAATGTGGCCAAGTATCTGGATTTAAAATGAACCTAGGGAAAACAGAGATGCTAGTTAAAAATATGAACACTAATCAAGGGGAAGACTTAGAAAAAAATGACAGGATATGGGGTGGTTAAGAGGGTTAAATATCTGGGAGTCTGCATCTCAACTTCAAGCGGGAAACTGTATAAGTGTAATTGTGAGCCACTGTGGCATAGTATACGGGGCAGAGATGAAGAATTGGGAAAGGTTACGGTTGTCTTTGTTGGGAGGAATGGCAACGGTGAAGATGAATGTCCTGCCTAAATTTCTATTTCTTTTTCGGGTGATGCCAATACCTAAAGAAGGGTGTGGACTTGCTAGAGTGGCAGAAGGGTATTGGCGGGTGTGTTTGGGCAGGGAGGAAGCCGAGAGTAGGGCTTGGAATAGTGCGGGATGTGCGTGAGAGAGGAGGTTTGAGATTGCCAAATCTGAAATTGTCTTATGAAGCAGTAGTTTTGTCACTGATCGGTGATTGGATCGACTCAACAGAGGATAGAATACTAAATATTGAAGGGTATGATTTGGTATATGGTTGGCATGCTTATCTGTTATATGACAAGAAGGTGGATAGGAATTTTAGAGGTCATATTTTGGGGAGTGCTCCGCTGCGGGTCTGGAAAAAATATCAACATAAACTAAACGACAGGATGCCTGTGTGGGCAGTTCCCAGACATGCAATGGAGAACATAGTACAAGGGCGGGATGTGGCTATGTGCGGACAGCTTCTCGCTATGGAAGGAGGTGTATTGCAGCTAGGGCCCTTGAGTGTACTGGAGGAGGAAAGGGTAGTTCGGGCGTGGTTTCGGTGTGGACAGTTGCAGGCCAGGTGGAAAAGGGATCAGGGAGTTGGTTTTATGCAAAATGAGGATAATTTACTAAAACGGGTTGGGGATCAGGGTCAACCCTCTCTAAGCGGTTTACAGAGTCAGCATATTGCCCCCAACAACAATCCGGGTCCTCATTTCACCCATCTCGGAAGGATGGAAGGCTGAGTCAACC